AATTTTTATTTGTTCTTTCATGGGAGCATGGGTGTCACTGGCTAGGCCAGCAATTAATGCCCTTCCCAAATTTCCATTCAGAAGTTGGTAGTGAGCTGCCTTCTTGAATTGCTGCAGTCCACTCGGTCTTGGTAGACCCACTGTGCTATTTGAGAGTGAGTTCTAAGAGTTTGACCCAGGGACAATGAAGAAATGATTATACATTTCCAAGTCAGACAGTGACTGTCTTTAAGGGGAACTTGCAGATGGTGTCTGCTGCCCTTATTTTTCTAAATGCTAGAGGGTGCAGCTTTGAACTGTGTGCAAAGTAACTTGGTAATTCCAAGGCCAATGCCAATGCTTTATGGGTTTATATTGCACCTGGTGGAATTTGAATTCATCTGGAAATTCATTGAAAGCTAGTCTTAGGGATGCAGAACATGGATTGTCATTATAAACCCACAGATGCCTTTTATGGGAGGAAATCTGCTGTTTGCACCTGCTCTGGCCCATGCGTGACTGCAGACACACAAGAATGTCACTGACTCTGAAATAGTGTAGCAAATCAACTTAGTTCAATGGTAATTGGGAATTAGAATTTTAAAAACAGAATCCATGTCAGGCATGGGCACTGAATGCAAATTTTGTTTCTGGCCTTTAGCAACATAAATATGATAATCAATATGATTACTTTATTAATATAAGTGGGCAGCACATTGGCTCAGTGGTTAGCACTGCTGCCTCACAGCATCAGTGACATGATTTCAATTCCAGCATCAGGTGACTGTCTGTGTGGAGTTTGTACATTCTCCCTGAGTCTGCATTGGTTTTCACCAGTTGCTCTGCCAGACTGGATCAGGTCTGGGTGGAGAGCTCTTCAGAGAGTTGGTGCAGATTAGATGGGCCAAATGGCCTCATTCTGTACTGAAGGGATTCTGTGATTCTCTGAATATAACGTGCAATGCACTTCCAGCTTGAAATGGACATGCACTTCCTATGCAACATATTAAAGGCTTAGGAGCTTGTTTGATTCCTGATGATTAAAGTGCTGCTGACCCATTTTCTATGCAAATTGGTTTTGATAACGAGAGCCATTTCTGTCACTAACTGGATAAATGTGAGCAATGTTGGAATCTAGTTATGTGCTTCATCTGTTAGCTGTGAAACAGTTGTTCAGGCATTGGGCAAGATCTCATATTATCCTGTGATCAAGCTGTTACTATTCTACAAATATTCTCAATCTTATTAGGTTAAGCTTGATGGTGGGGAATGGCAACTATTGCTTGCCTCCTGGAATGGATGGTGTGTGGCTGACTGCCTACTTGTATAAATTTAAGGGTCATTCATCAATCCAATGGTCTGAAACAACCATAAAGACTTCCATCTATTCAAAGTACAAAGAGTCCCAGAGAATGAACCATGTAGTAAATGCAAGACATATGATGCCTACATCTTTGGTCAGTCCCATGTGATTGATTTCTTCCAACAAGATAACTGCTATTGTCTCATGGAGACTCATAGCAATAGTTCATCATTCGTATTTATGGGAGATGGTGGGACAGTGGTCTGGGGGCCTCAGTGATTCCAAGGCCAAGGCCAATGCTTTATGGGTTTGTATTGCACCTGGAGAAATTTGAATTCATCTGGAATTGAAAGATAATCTTAGGGATGGAGAACATAGATTGTCATTATAAACCCACTGATGCCTTTTGGGGGAGGAAATCTGCTGTTTGCACCTGCTCTGGCCCATGCGTGACTGCAGACCCACAAGAATGTCACTGACTCTCTGGAATAGTGCGGCAAATCAACTTAGTTCAATGGTAATTGGGAATTAGAATTTTAAAAACAGAGTCATAGAATCTTTACAGCATGGAAAGAGACCCTTTGCCCCATTGTGTCTGTGCTGGTCATCAAATATCCAACTATTCTAATTCTGTTTTCCAGCATGTGACCCATTGCCTTGTGATCATGTTGCCTTATAATTCCATTACACAGTCACTAATAAAGAACAAATCATAGGCTTTGGGCAACCTGAGGATACTGCTGGATTAGCTTGTATTTGTCTCTGTCACACAGAAGTCCCCATACAAGAAAAGATATATACGTAACAGTCCAGTCTACTGGATCCTGCATCTGGCAAGATTTGATTTCCATGGCTGCTCCTGATGGAATCTCACTGCTTTCTTGCTTTGCCTGTGTTCTGGTATTTATTTTGGCGTACCCTGTGGTCTCACAGTAACAACTCCTAACTTGCTTGGTGACCTTTTTGTGAACTAGCACCTAGTTTGTGCAGTCAAGGGTTCCGAACTTGATGCACAATCTTTATGTTCCCAATAGTTGATGCTTTGTCAGATGCACTTTTTGGGGTTTTATTTTGGTATCATCGGAAGAATAAATTGTTCATGAAATAGCACTTTCTTCTTCCTCAGTGTCTCAGCAGACCGCTTCACTTATCTCTTTAATAACAGAACATTTTGATGCCCTGTGTGACAGCTTTAAAATGACTGTTTTATTGAACAATTTAACAGCATGAAGATAAAAACAATATAAATACATCTCATTAGGTTAAAGAAATATTTTTGATCAACATGCTCTAAACAGATCTCTGGGGCAGGTGGGAACATTAAAAGTCTTTCTTGAAATGTGGGCTAGACTTGCAATTACTGACCATTTCTAACTGCTCTGGAAAAAGTGATGGTGAATGCATCACAAATGATCTACTGAGAACATTATTGTTTACAAGCCATCTGGAAATTGGTTTCATGTGAAGGTGGTTAAAAGACTTAACTCTAATGAATTGGTCATTTGGTGGACAGAACTTGAGTACTAAAAAAAAGACATCTTGTCAAAGCTTTTCATCTTGTGCGCAGCAGGATATTTTGCAAGAATTTTCGCTTGAAGTTGTGTTGTTGTATCAATTGTTACATGGTTGATTGTTTACAGATGGCTTCTGGACACTTCCAATGTACATTTACCATAGTGATTTAGCAGTAGTGTCCCTACCTCTGAGCCAAAAGATCTGGGTTCCAGTCCCACGTGCCCCGGAGGTACATTTACAAAGTCCGCATGTTAGGGCTGTTGATATATCAGTAAAGAATGGTCCTCCTCAAAAACTGTAGTGCCAGGATGGGGGGGTGTTTCTTTCTTGAATACGATTTCATCGGTGGGTAAGCATGACTCTCGCTGGACACCATTTTTTTCTCAGGATAAAGGAAAGTTCCAATTCGAAAACACAGCAAATAATCCTCATGTGACCATAAGACATAGGAGCAGAAATTAGGCCATTCAGCCCATTAAGTCTGCTCTGCCATTCAATCATGGCTGATAATTTTCTCAACCCCATTCTCCTGCTTTCTCCTTTGATCCCCTTATCAATTAAGAACATATCTAACTCTGTCTTAAATATACTCAATGACCTGGCCTCCACAGCCTTCTAAGGCAGTGAGTTCCACAGATTCACCACTGTCTAGCTGAAGAAGTTTCTCCTCATTTCCATTCTAAAAGGTCTTCCCTTTACTCTAAGGCTGTGCCCTCAGGTCCTAGTCCCTCCTACCAATGGAAACATCTTCCCAACATCCACTCTGTCCAGGCCATTCAGTATTCTGTAAGTTTCAATTAGAAACCCACTCGTCCTTCTAAACTCCATCAAGTATAAACCCCTAGTCCTCAAACATTCCTCATATGTTAAGCTTTACATTCCTAGGACCATTCTTGTAAACATCCTCTGAACCTGCTCCAGAGCCAGTACATCCTTCCTGAGATACAGGGCCCAGAACTGCGCACAATAATCGAAATGTGACCTGACTTATAGAGCCTCAGAAGTACATCCCTGCTTTTATATTCAAGTCATTTCAAAATAAATGCCAACACTGCATTTTGCTTCCTAACTACTGACTCAACCTGCAAGTTTACCTTGGGAGTTCTAGTCAAGGATTCTCTCAAGTCTCTTTGCACTTCAGATTTCTGAATTTTCTCCCCATTTAGAAAATAGTCCATGTCTCTATTCTTCTTACGAAAGTGCGGGACCTCACACTTTTCCATGTTGTACTCCATCTGCCACTTCTTTGCCCACTCTCCTTACCTGTCCAAATCCTTCTGCAGATTCCCCACTTCCTCAATAGTTCCTCCCTCTACCTATCTTTGTATCATGTGCAAACTTAGCCAGAATGCCCTCAGTTACTTCATCTAGATCATTAATCAATGAAGTGAAAAGTTGTGGTCCCAACACTGACCCTTGTGGAAGACCACTTGTCACTGGCTGCCATCCTGAGAAAGACCCTTTTATCCCCACTCTCTGCCTTCTGCCAGATAGCCAATCATCTATCCATGCTAGCACCTTGCCTCTAACACCATGGGCTCTTATCTTACTCAGCAGCCTCCTGTGTGGCACCTTGTCAAAGGCTTTCTTGAAGTCCAGGTGAATAACATCCATTGTCTTTCCTTGGTCTAACCTGCTTGTTACTTCCTCAAAGAATACTAGCAGATTGGTCAGGCGTGACCTCCCCTTGAAGAAACCATGCTGACTGTGCCCTATTTTACCATATACTTCCAGGTATTCAGAAATCTCATCCTTCACATTGGGCTCCAAAATCTTACCGCTGACCAAGGTTAGGCTAATCAATTTGTAATTTTCCGTCTTTTGTCTGACTCCCTTTTTAAACAGAGGTGTCACATTAGTGATTTTCCAGTCCTCTGGAATCCTCCCTGAACTCTAGCAACTCCTGAAGGATCGCCACTAATACCTCAATTATCTCTTCAGCTAACTCTTTTAGAACACTGGGGTATAGTCCATCTGGTCCTGGAGATTTATCCACCTTCAGGCCATTCAGTTTTTCTAGCACCTTCTCCTTGGCGATGGCCACCATACTCAGGTCTGCCCCCTGTCTCTCTTGAATGTTTGTACCAAGGAAAAGAACTGTCCTTACTAAACAATGTTTGGTCAAGGGAAAAGCCATTAATAGTATTTTCGTTGAAAAGACATTTAGCTAATTTTTTTTGTCAAATTGCTTTTTCTTTTTCAGTTTCACAATAAAGTGACATGTTTCATGTTGCATCACATCGAAGAGCCGTGTTCGCTAGGTGTGCACGCTGCAGTCATTATACCCCCGACATGGATTATAAAGGTGAAAAAACCACAGGTATAAAGCACAGAGCACCATCATCTGTCTCATAGCCATTCTCAGTACTCTTTCCTTGAGGTTCTACATTAGGGAGCCTCATCACGAGGTAGGGATGTCACCATATCAACTATAGCAGCACCCTATCCACCCAGAAAATATCCTGGCATATACTAACCAAGATATTTAACCACTTCGCTGGCATGTCATGCTCCTTTAAACTGCTTCATGTGGCACTATGCTTTGGCTGACATGGATATGTTGGATGCTTCTTTTTAAATAAGGTGGAATATTGAAAGTTAATGAAACTAGTGTTATTGTTAACTGTTTGTTGCTGCATGTCCTTCTATTAAGTGTGTAACATGTCTTCTACTTGAATCAAAGCATGAGCATGGTTAAATACAAGAGATGTAAACACAGTGCATGGAAAGTTCTGACCCAAGTAATTATTGGGTGTTGTTACAACCTTACTGGATAGGGAAATATGACTTGGAGGGGCCTATGAAAAATAGGCCAGAATGTGAATCACAGGAGAATTCAGTTCCCTGAATATTGACTGGGAAAACAGTAGCAGAAAATCTCTGAAGAAATGAATGTTTCTAGAGGTGGTGCAGTATTTCTTCCTTACTCAGTTTAACAAACAACTAACAGTGGTCAGAGGCTTTCCTGGAACATAATCTTCAACCACAGCCCAGGTTTTATGCAGAAGGGTAACAATAGGTTCAGTAATTGCAGCAGTATACTCGTGCCTTACTATGTCTAGTTCACTACCTTTTTGCTAATGGTAGCACTTCTCTCCTGATGTGAGAAGCATTTCCTGTAGTATAAATTATCCAGCTGAATAAAATCACCTCAGATTGCCTTTTATTTTGGACTACACTTCAGATACTCATACTCTTAAGTCTAGAATGAAGAGATTATCACCTGGTAAGATGGAGCTAATATCCATTACAGTTTTAGTAACTAGAAAGCACTCTCATTCTTTCTTATCCAATTGTGGTGTTGTTCATGCACTGTAGCCAAAGCTTGACTACATCCACATGGTAAAGGACATGTGTCAGCAGTGCAGGAGACATTTCTGAGCTCTTTAACATTGGCTGTAATTGTCCATGGTTGTGGGCTATAAATTTTGCAGAATCAATATGCACTGATTATGCGTCCCAAGTGTATGCTATGCTTCTCAAACGATTACATTCGAATGTTTCAGTTTCAAGTCATCGCTTGCACTCAGTCTCCTTTCTGCATCAGTTAAGTTGTACTGTGTACTATGATAAAATAACGAATAACTGGCCAAAACAAAGCATTCAGCAGTCAGCATATGTAACACAGGCATTAAGGAATTCAAAGGCCACTGAAGGTCATTGAATGAATTTCATGAAGGGGTTAACTTCAGAGGAATAGTGAATCTATTTGGGCCAATACTTATTGGCGTTTAGGAAAATGAGAGGTGGCCTTATTGAAATATGCAAGATATTGAAGGGTCTTTAAAGGTTAGATGTTGAGAGGATGTTTCTTCTCTCTGGAGAATCTAGAGCTAGTTTCAAAATAAGAGGTATCCCACAAACAGATGAGGAGTAATTTCTTCTCTCAGAAGGTTGTTAACTTTGGAATTCTCTTTGCTAGAAAGAAATGGAAACTGAGTTATTGAACATATTCAAGGCTGAATTGGGCAGAATTTATTTCTACAAGGAAGTCTGGGATTATGGGTGCAGACAGGAAAATAGGGTTGAGGCCACAGTCAGGTAAACCATGATCTGTCTGAAATTGGTGCTAGTTCAAGAGGTTGGTTGGCCTCCTCCTCCTATTTCCTATGTTTTCACTTTCAAGGACTCTGGCTTGACCTCCTCAATTTCTGTTCCAATCCAACTTGAAGCACATAAAGTGTCAGAAAAATGTCAAAGTAGGCAGTAACTTTGCAGTGTAGAAACATTGCAATTACCATGGTGACTAGATTGCACTGGACTCCCTAGAGAGTGTACCAGCCTTGATCCATGCAGAAGATATCTAGAATTTGTCCAAAAATGGCCAGGACAGGAACTTTAAGCTCTTCCCTTCTGCCGCCATTTAATTCTACTTTGAAGATGTCAAATTGAACAGTGGATAGTGAAAAATCATTTCTGTTCTGAGGAAGGGTCACTGGACCCAAAACATTAACTCTGTTTTATCCTTCACGGATGCTGCCAGACCTGCTGAGCTTTTCCAGCAACTTTGTTTTTGTTCCTGATTCACAGCATCTGCAGTTCATTCGGTTTTTATTAGTGAAAAATCATTGGCTGTCTCCTCTAAGAGGAATAGCTTTTATATTTTCCAACCTTCTCTATCCTTTGTTATGAAATTTGGCATTATTCTCACAGATAACCAAATGCACTGTGCCTTCATAATCTGGCTGTCTGGTTACAGCTGGCCTAGGCTCAGAGTAGCAGATGAAACAGCATTTGTGTTAATTACTTTATCTGATGGAATTATTCTTTGTTTTCTTCACAATAATTCCTTCCAATCACTGAAGGAGAGTTGAGTCACTTCAGACTTTGAAATGTTCCAATTATTAACAACTTAAATTTTATAAACGCAAATCCAATTGGGAGGCACAGTGGCACAGTGGTTAGCACTGCTGCCTCACAGTGCCAGTAACCCAGGTTCAATTCTAGCCTCAGGCAATTGTCTGTGTGGAGTTTGCACATTCTCCCCGTGTCTGCGTGGGTTTCCTCCAGGTGCTCCGGTTTCCTCCCACAGTCCAAAGATGTGCAGGTTAGGTGGATTGGCTATGCTGAATTGCCCATAGTGTTCAGAGAGGTGTAGATTAGGGGGATAGGTCTGGGTGGGATGTTCTGAGGTTTGGTGTGTACTTGGTGGGCCAAAGGGCCTGTTTCCACATTGTAGGGATTCTATGATAAAATTGTATTATGCTGGCAAAATACTGCTGTAAGGGAAAGCAATATAAGATTTTTATCTTATATTTCTCTACTTTCTTGGCATTAACTAATAGAGTTGGTTAGCTCAATTAGCTGGATGCCTGGTTTGCAATGCAGTGTGATGCTGACTGCATGGGTTCAATTCCCACATGGGCTGAGGTCACCATGAAGGACTCTCTCCTTGCTTGAGGTGTGGTGACCATCAGGTTAAATCACCACCAGCCCCCTCTCTCTCTTTAAAATGAGAGAGCAGCCTAAGGTCTTGTAGAACTATGGTGATTTTACTTTATTTCTAGATCTCTATACTCAGATAAAGGTGGGTCACCTATTAAGTTTTTGCTGTGTTGTGTATGAAAATTTACAGGGCAACTATCATCGAGGGGCCCAATATTAAAATAAATCATGAACATGAAATCTGATTTTAATGTTTATTATCTCAATGACATTGTGTCACAGTGTTTACCGTGTTTGACATTGCAACAATAGTGAAGCAACAGAAAATTTTGCATTAATTGTAAAGTGCTTTAAGAGGTCCAAAGGATACAGAATTGCACATCATTCTCAGATTTGTAAATTTGTGACTTTACAGCATATTTCTGCTTAAACTAGACCTATGTCCCCACACCTATGCATAGATGCTCAAGAAAAATTTGGTGCCCTTCAACTCTTAATGCATGAATCACTGAAGGCTAGTATGCAGGTACAGCAAGTAATTAGAAAAGCTAATAGAATGTCATTGTTTATTGTGAGGAGAATTGAATACACAAATGAGTTATACAGGACATTGGTGAGATCATACCTCAAATACTGTGTATAGTATTGGTGTCCACGTTCGGGGAAGGATGTAAATGTGTCGGAAAGAGTAATAGACTAATACCTGGAATGAGCATATTGTCTTATGAGGAAAGGTTGAACAGGGTAGTCTTTATCCAGTGGAGCTTAGAGTAAGAGGTGACTTAATTGAAACATCACATCGTAGTAATCTGACTGGACTAGTAATCCAGTGCCTCAGATTAATGTTCTGGGGACAAATCTCATCATGGCAGATGAGTAAAATTTCAACAGAGTAAAATACTAGCCCAATGGCGACCATGTAACCACTGTCAATTGCTATAAATACCAACTAATGCATTTTAGGGAAGGAAAATGCCATCCTTACCTGGTCTGGCTGACATGTGACTCATCTCACAGCAATATAGTTGATTTAACAGCCCTCCAGGCAATTAGGGATGTGCAACAAATGCCAGCCCAGTCAATGACACCCTCATTCAATGAGCAAAAGTTAAAAGGTGCTGAGGAGTCTTCACAGGATGGATCTTAAAAAAGATGTTTGCTCCTGCAAGAAAATGTGGAACTAGGCATCACTGTTTACAAATAAAAGTCACCCATTTAAAACAGAGATAAGAACTTTTTCTCCAGGGTTCATATACCTTTGGAACTTCCCAAAGAAGCAGTGCTGTTAGATTCTCAATTAGTGAGGGGTGAAAGGTTATCAGGTATAGTCAGGAATGAAAAGTAATCAGATCAGCATGATCCTATTGAATGCTGGAACAGGCTCAAGGGACTGAGTGGCCTACTCCTGCTCCTAATTCGTATACACATATATGTTTTAGATGTCATCAACTTTTTAACTCATCTTGGATTAATGTTAATTCTATCAACATTTTACTGAGATTCCAGAATCTTTTTCAACTCTGCTTGCTTCTAGGTTCTCATCATTTAGAAAGTACCCTATTCTGTTCTATTTTTTTGCCCAAAGTGAATTACCTTAAATTTGGCCTACATTCACAGGTTTGCCTATTCACTTAATATATTCCTGATGCTTTGTAATGTTAGGTTTCCATCTACATTGCAACTTGTCTTTGTTCTACCACAAACGTGCACATGTAGCTTTCCATGCCAGCCTTTAAGTCTTTAGTAATTAAGATGAAGAATTGATGCCTCCAACAACACAAATCTTTGCAGGATACCTCTAGTCGAGGTCTGCCACCAGTTGGACTAACTCCCTATTATCCTGACTTTCTGTATCTTACAACATAGCCAATTTCCAAACCAAGCCAACAGATTCTAGTCAATTCAAATTTAGCCAAAATCTCTCCTGAGGGATTT